AAAAAAAAAAAAAAAAAATTAACCAGGTCCTGAGCCTTAAGCTTACACGGTGAACTCCATATTCCCGGCCCCAGCCTCCGGATGGTAATGCATGATCTCCTGCCACATCATCTCCCGAATCATCTCCTCTCCCAAATCCTCGTCTATATCCAAATTGATCGGCACTTGGGCCGGTGGGTCACACCTCGGGTCGTACAAAGGCGACATGTACGGGTGCTGGAGTGCCTCAGACACGCTGATCCTCTTCGAGGGATCAAAAACAAGCATTTTCTGCAACAAATCAATTGCCAGAGGATGCGCGTGAGGATAAAGCCGAGCAAAGGGGGCTCCGAGCGAATAAGGCAGAGTCTTGACGTACTTTCTGGCCTTTGGGTTATCGATAAACAGCAAATCGTCCTCACGTTGGCTGCCGAGGATGTTGATTATCAGTTTGAGCTGGTTGAGGCACTCTGTGCCTGGAAAAATGGGCTTGCGGCCCAAGAGCTCGGCAAAGATGCAGCCCACAGACCAGACGTCTATGGATGTGCCATAGTTGTCACAGCATAAGAGGAGTTCGGGGGCACGATACCATCGAGTGACAACGTATTCGGTCATGAACTGGCCCTTACCGCTATTGGTTCGGGCCAGCCCGAAATCGCATATCTTGAGGTCACAGTTGGCATTGATGAGGAGGTTGCCGGGCTTGAGGTCTCGGTGGAGGATGTTTGCCGAGTGGAGGTACTTGAGGCCTCTCAGCAACTACCAATAACAGATTTTAGAATTGTAAAATAGCCGGAAAAAGAAGAAAGAATAAAAAATAGGAACACGTGCATAACTGGTGATCGAGTTTCAGGTATGATAGAAATAATGAATGTATGTGGTCAGAATATATTTGCTTGAAAGAGGTTAGCCAAAATATCTTGCTTCATGCGTAGGTATTTGAAAAAGAAACCGGAAAAAGGTGTGCCTTGAACTCTAAGCAAAATAAGATTCATCGAGAAATGTATAAACTAAAATGGTTGGAACTGGGCATGATTTGTCCTGATATTAGGCAGTTGCAAGAGAGCACGTGGAAACTATGTGGATTTGAATGTATGATTCCAAATAATCATGAAAAACAATGAAAACATCAAGCAAACAAAAAAAATTAAAAGCACGTGTACTGCTGATTATAAATAGGAACTTCCTTTGAATGTTTAGCCAGTAAGTAATAAATCTTCAAAGAAACAACTAAAAGCGCGCAAGTCCTTCAACAGCTTACAAATTCAAATCAAAGAGCCCACTTGTCATATACATATTTCTTACTTTTTAAAGTTTGCAGTGGATAAACATCCTTTCAACAGTCTATTCGTTTTCACAAATTGTTGTTGATTTTGAAATATATTACAAAATTTCAATAGTTAGCAGTCGCCAAAAGTTCCTTCAATGCTCCTCGTTATTCGTCTTCATTTGCTGCACAGTATCCCACATCACAAATAAATAAACAAGAGCACCAGACTGTCGAAATTTGCCTTAACAAATACTTCATTACTTTACAAACTAAAGCATACTTCACATACAAGCGGCGGGCACCAAAAAGAGTTACCTGGAACAGGAAATACTGGCAATGATCATTCGTGAGTGACTGAGAAGACTTAATGATCTGGTGCAAGTCAGTATCCATTAACTCGTAAACCAAGTAGACGTCCTTGAAACTCCCTTTGTGATTTGGCAGCATCACATCTTTCAGAGCAATCACATTCTCGTGCCTAAGGTGCCGCAGAAGCTTCAACTCGCGTAGAGTTCTCAGTGCATCAATTCTATTTTCAAAGGCATTGTGTATCTTCTTGATTGCGACCTTCTCATTGGTCTCCCTGTTTACCGACGAGCACACTATGCCGTAGGCCCCACGGCCGATGGGCTTGATCGGCATGTATTTAGTGTCGATCTCGAAAAGTGTCTGCCACATGGAATAGTAATGCTTTCCTTGGGACCCGATACCGTTCGGAGGTTCCACTGGAGTTGCCATGCTATTTGAAACTATCATTTGAAAAAAAATTAAGCGTTTGAGCACAAATGAAAGTCCATAGGCCGTGAATTATGCCAACGTTCAACATCGACAACAGCGGAATTTAACACAAATTACACAGAGCTCAGCAATCTCAATTTCTAACTGTATCAAGAACCAACTACAGAAAACAGAATAACAGAAAATGAAAAAAGAAAAATGACTCATTAATGATTCTTTTTGCAACAAGTCGTACAGAAAAAGAAATCCCAGATTAAGGAAATAAGATAACTTGGAGATGTAACTCGTGAGCTTCCAAGACATTATCAGCTATATATGCAAGCTTAGAGTAAGATGAATCAACATTAAACCGTACAAATAACAATCAATCTTAAACGAAACAAAACAATTTGACATCGCAATCAGCAGACACGAACACAAATTGAACGATGAAGAAAGAATTTCGCGTCCAATGATGGAGCCCGTCGAGTTTTCTCAAAATTTCAAAAGCGTCAACAGAAACCCAATACACCATCACCAAAAGAGATTCTTCAGTTTCTCTGGTACAAGCAAACAAAGAAGTAAATTGTCCTGAAATATCTTCAAATCGGGCTGTAGACCTCAGAATCCTTCATTATCCATCGAGCTTCAAACTTTAATCCCAAAATTAGCCAAAAATCCGTCCACAAATCCCCATCTTAACCCGTTCTCCACCTAAATTGCGAAATTCGCACAGTAAAGAAGGCGTAAAATTCACCTTAACCTCGCTCGAGCTTCACTGAATTGGATCAAGAGGATCTTAGCGCAATTAATTACCTCACATTCTCAGTAGATTTTTTCACTGGAAAAGGATAAATTATGAATAACACAACTAAAGTGTGCAAATATATTTTTTCGCTTTTGATTTTTCTCAACGAATATAAATATATTTGAGAGCAGATGTTGTGATTCGTTATGCGGTCGTCATCAGGACACTGTAGGTTGTGTAGTTCACTTGTAGACGTGACCGCGGCCGCACCGGTCAGCCGTCCGGGCACCGAACCGGTTCCGGCCCGGCCCGAAATCAAGCAAGTCTAGTAACCGGGACCGTGCCCTTGCCGTTCGGTCTCGGTTCACAGTTTTTTTTTTTACCGACAGTCGGGGCCGGGCCGTGACCGGGCCACGGGCCCAATGCCGGTCTGGGACATGCGGTTTTTTTTATTATTTGTTGGGGGTAGGCCCGACCGACTCGTCTGACAAGCCTGTCGACTGACAACATATTCGTTAGGCCCGGCTGGGCCGCAGGTCGGGCCGGTCCAGCTCGGGCCCAACGGTCCGAAATTGAAAAAAAAAAATTGGGTCGTTAGATTGATATAGCGTTGAGATCGAACGGCCCATCCTGCCCGCCCCAGCGATACCAGAAATAAAAAAATAAATAAATAAATACCAAAAATCGGTAAAAAAATTATAATAAATCCAAAAATTCCTAACCTATAAATACCCTCCCCCATTCACCACCGCACCAAAATTCATTATCTTCTTTACTCTTTCTACCTTCTCTCTTCTCTCTCATTATCTTTCTCTCTTTTATCTCCACTAGTAAAGTGCATGTGCGTTGCACGTGAGAAAAATTGGGTTGCTGAGTGATTTTTTCTTTTGGTTAATGAAGTTCGTGTTATTCTTCCAACTTGCATAGTTGGCCATAATATCATTTGCAATATCTTTTACATTTTCTTCTTGCTATTTTGTATTAAATTATATTTAGTGGGAATATGAAGATATTGAAATAATAAATGAAATTACAAATGCATAAATATTCGAAAGAGAATTGTTTCCAAATAAAAATAAAAATCAAATATCTTACTATGCCAAAATAAATTGTCTAGAAAATAGAGAATTAACTAAATAAGGAACTAATACGAATTATTGTTGCTTCAGTTCTTCTCCTTTTTTATGTTGACGACTGGAGATGGTTTCTTTCCTTTTGCTTTTGAACTTTTTCTTGCACATTTCTTCTTAATACTACTAATTGTCTCATGATCTTCAACTTCAATAACAGAATCATTTTCATCTTCTATTATTTTGTTGATGGATCGCTTCTTTTTGATGTTGGTCCTTTTTTACGAATTGGCTTCATCCACATGCAGATCAATAGGTACTTGTAGAGAAATTGCTTGGTTATCATTCATATCCTCATCATGTGTAGTTTCCGTCCTTGCAATTGCCTCTGCCACCGCATTGATTTCTCCTCTTGAGTTGATCGACTTATCATCGACTGGAATGAGGAATTGAAACTCAAATGTTGACTGTAAGCTCAACCCTTTGTAATATCCAAATAATTCTTCCCCCTAATGATCATCGAAAGTAATTGTTTAATAAATATTATACTTGACGATTAATGTTAATTTCAAAATGAGTGTATATTCACCTGCTCAATTGATCTGATGTAATCATTAATTAGACATCCAACATACACCATTGCAGCTTCCTCAAATAAAGTTATTGTCGCATTGTGGGTATCTCCCACGACGTTTAAGACCAACCTATATCTGCAACGAGTGTATATTTTTTTGTATATGTTTTTGCGTACTAAAAAATATTAGATGCGGTATTTTTGTTATGCTTAATACCTTGGAGTTGGTTCCACGACTTTGTTATTGCATTTTTTGCATGACATGCCGTCGTCGGTCTTCGCTATTGCAGTGGCACAACTTTTACACGATTCATACCACAAAGATGATTTATTCACGACCTTATCCACGTATCCTTTGAAACAATAATATTTTTCCTGTGATGAAAACAAAAGTACTGAAAAATATTACAAACAAAATTGAAAAAGATTCTTCTTGATTGAAAGTCTTGTGATATTTCTGTATGGTACCATTTAGATGCTAATGGAGGAAAAAAAAAATAAGAATACATCAATGCTTTGGTATATTATGAAATATGCCGGAAGTATAATATTATAGTAAGCAAACTCAGATATATGGGCCTCGTTATGATAGTACATTAAAGTAAACTGTGCATTTGATCACTTTTCAGGTGGATTCCAGGGCATGCGGCCGCCAATAAAATGTAATTTATTCCCACCTTAAAATTATAAAAGCTACGTACAAGATTCAAACTATTCTAGGCTTAATTAACAAAAGAAAAATAATCGTACTTTTTTTTTTAACCAATACAGTTCTAAAAATCATAATGGACTTTAAGGAATATTAATTATTGTAAATGTATATAATTTTGTTAACGTGAAGATAATGTTGTCGTTTACACAGAGATATTTACCTTATTGAGCTCGTCTCGATTGAACAAAATTTGATGTAAGGTCACAACTTCGACATCCTTCATCCTTTGTTTCATCGACATTTCAAGCAAATTCATATGCTTGTCATGTGCTCGCAACCTGAAAAATATTACATATAAACAGAAGGTCTTATTATTTTGAATTATATTGTACTATGTCGCATCTACTTCCTTGAATTTAGAGTATACCATTGACGAAATTGATTTTTTTCTCCACAAGACGCGTTGATTTCCAGAATTGATGCGTTGGTTGTTGTCAATTGCATTTGACCTTATGATATTAAAGTGAACATTATTAGAATTGAAAGTGTAGTTGTTCATCAATAAAAAACTATAGAATATAAATATTAATTCTCAAAATTAATTATTTTAGTATTTATTAATATAATGTATTATGTCTTACCGTTGTATATCTTCGATATCATTAGCTTACTGAACGTTACGAATGGCCTTCGTGCAAGCATATTATGTAGAGCAGTTCCTTCATTTTGTGCCATATCTTCCCATAAGGAGACAATAATAGATCGACACCTGTAAAGCAGTTTCTTCATTTTGTTAAATGTATAACAAATATATTGTTAAATGTATTCCGTGTTTTTAATTAAATAGTCATTATATTTGTGTAAGTAAATATTTTAAATTTGCAGAATTAAATACTCACTCCCGGTCCATAATTGTAATCTCCCTTACGGGCGCCTTTGCACCCGTTGTTTTTATAACAATCCTGGACTCTTTCACCTTCATCACAATCCCACATATATCTGCGAACATAATAATAAAATGTACTTGTTGAAGTCATTTATATAATAGTATTAAGAACAAAAATGAGAGTAAATATACATACCAATCATTTCATTTTAATGACGTTGTATGTCAATATCTCCGAGCTTCATAAAATTATAAGGGATTTTGTATTTTATTTCTTCGGAGGCTGGCTTGACTGTGGTCTGGGTGATCCTCTTCAAGTAGATTTCCTTTTATGGATGAACTGCTGTTTTAGCATAGTAGCTGTTGATTTGCTTTACTTCTCCATTCTCAATTGTGAAAGTTTTATTCAACTGGAATTCTTTGGCGAAAGCATTGACATCACTATTAAACATTATTATGCCTATTTGAACCCCCTGCATAAAATTATAGTTATGAATAGAATGATTAATAATTGTGGATGCAATTTACTTACAATTCTGTACATTGGAAACCCAAAATCAAGTATAAATACATTAAAACAAATTCGTAATTATTCCTTCACATCGAACAGGAAAGAGGAAAGAAAGAGGAAACAAAGGAAATTGATAGGTAACAGTTGCATGATCGGAGGGTGATAACTTACAAAATAACATCCAGTGGTGTCGTGAAATGGCATATCATAATTACAATAAAATTAGTTTGAAGCATCCCATATTTTATTTATTCATTCGTTCATACAGAATGTAACTAGATGTGAAGCCATGTTGTTGGTGATTGTGATAATATATGTATACACACCTCTAACGTACAACAACATAAATTGATTTAATTTTAATGTGCGAAATTTTAAAACAAATCATACATACTTCAACATTTAACTTAAAATTGTCTGAACGATAACATATACGAACTTTACAAATATCAACTATCCAATTTTCAGTTTAAGAATATGAGAAGAACTCACTTATACAAACATGATAAAAAAATTTAAAATTTATACTTACATCCTTGTCGACCATTATCATTTTATGTATTCGAGAAGAACCATTCTGTCCACGGCTTGTTTTCGAGCATATCCTTAAAACTTTCAGTTGGATCGTGAATTTTCTTTGATTGATTTCCAACAAATTTACGGTAAGGCTCGACATAATGATGCTAGTTCTGCATGATATAATTGTTGGAGTATACCATTAGATCAAATTAATGTAATCAAGCAAAAGTTGAATATTAAAGGATTGGATAGAACATAATATATAATACTGATTTTAGTGGCCAGAAGAATGACTTACAAACGGTGATCTTGGAATGGGATGTCTTACAAAAACGGTGAGTTTCTCTTAATCTCAAATCGTGTAGTACATTTATGTATGTACAGGGTATATATAATATATGTAATATATAATATATGTTATGCAGTTTATGATATGGAGGTTTAATAGGTATCAGTGTTTAATTAGAATTGTATATACTTAAATTAAAAGTGTTTAATAGGTATCAGTGTTTGATTAGAATTTATTATATGAATTCTATTTAATAAGAATTCCTAATTTTTACGGACTTCAATTTAATATCAGAATTTTGATTTGATTGAGATTTTTCTCTTAAGAATTTAAGAGTCTCTGGTACGAATAGGAAAGTTAGATGATAATGCAAAATTGTTGGACTTTCAGTCAAGTAACCCAAACGCTGCTTGTGATATATTAATTTTTTATGTGTTTAATAAAAATACGTTCCAATCAGTAGCCACTTTTGATGAGTGATGATATCAATCTATGTAAAAATAAATTAATTATTATTAATTGTTAATAAACTAATGCATAAAAGATATCATGAGACCACTGTAAAAATAAAGAATGCAGACCACTGTAAAAATACATATGTATTTCGAAAATATAATAAATAAAGAATTAACAATGAAATTTAACTCATTTTATAGGTCGTTTGTATCCAAATGTAAAAAAAATAAAAAAATTAATAAATATTCTACATCAACTGGAGCTGAAGAATGATAAATGTAAATCATGCTTAAGAATGATAAATGTAAAACATACTTAAGATGCACATTTACATCGATAAGTATATTTTTAGAAGGTTTATATTTAGTTATATTAATTATATTATTTTTGTTTATTAGTTTATTTTATATTTATTAGTACCACGTGCATTGGCACGACAGTGATTTATGTTTGGGTTAAGTTAGAAAATTACTCCTGAGGTTTAGCCTAATTGTGTAAAAACTACTAATTTTCTATAAGAACTACAAAGCCCCCATTAAGGTACCACTTTCTTGAGCATTACAGAGTAAAATCAAAATACAAGCATTCTTGTTCCTTTCAAGGATCCAACTTGGAATTTGTTCTGTAAGTCTATTTCTCGTCAAATACCTACGAAACATGAAATGGTAGTTGCTCGTGAAGAAAATAAGGGTAGGCAAAATCAAAGAACTGAACAAGAATTAATGTACTTGCAGGAAATCAACTCTTGTAAGATGAGCAAAAGAATCAACAATTTTTTTGGAAAATATTAGCCACGACGAAGAAATGTGATGTTGAGAGGAAGCAGATTGTGCCATATCTGGATACATACTGATTAATTTTGTACTGCAAAATGTCTTCAGAACTAACTACAAATGTATCGAATAACTGGATCTTTCTTGCTATAGGACCAAAATCTATAATCATCTGCTGAATATACGTTTAACATTCATGTTAAAAAGAAAAGGAAATAAAGAAAGAAAAACATAACCATCTACGTATATTTTGGCCCTATGATACAATTGTCAAAACCAAAAAAAAAAAGGAAAAAAAAAAGATTAAGTAGACAAAAGTGTGGGAAATATCAAAACTGATGACATTGTGAAGAAATAGGAAAAAACACATATACACAAAGGTACACAAAACTTCCAGATTCCAATTCACTGCTCTTGAGACTTGTACACAACGGTTGATCCTTGAAGTTCCCTATCCACTTTGAAGTGAGCATGAAAGAACCTTTTCATCTTTGAGTTACACATATGCACACTTTGTCATCCAAATATAACACAAAAATAAATAAATAAATAAATAAATACAACCATAAAACTATAACCAACATTTTCAACCTCATCAAACTTGTGAGAGACTAAGAAGTTCTTTAACGATTTTTCTTGGGAATCAAATAGCACAATATGGCTGGGGGTGTCCAATTTTTCGCAAGTGTTGCATCTTCTGTCAACTGTCATGTAAATTTTGAACCAAATTCTTCACAAAAGACACATCTTACTCAAGTTTAAAATTTATGGACAATAATGCTGCCTTAAGCAAATTTTATGTCAATCTAAAGGAATGAAGCCGAAAAGTCTGATGTACTAACAGCTTTTTTAATTTTTGCATGTCACCAATATATTTAGGGATTTCTCCTTGTAGCCGGCAATTCCTTAATATTCTATACAAAATGGTTGAAGTTAGTGAAATTGGGTAGTCGGGTTTCCAAATTACCACAAGATTTCGGAGAAAAAAAAGGTTAAAACTAACATGACTTTAATGGACTTGATATCACTTAGTATTCATCAAGAAACTGACCAGGTGTTGAGCAAAATACTAAGCCTGGTCAAAGACATCGCAAAATACTCTGTAAGGTAATTTAAATTCTGAAACACTCGTGTCCAGTGCTAAGCATCTGTAATCTCACTAAATTGGATATTTGAAATGAAAGTTTACCAGTGGATGGATGACGGGCCAATCACAAACTCTACAAGATTCAGATACACGCAGTTAACCGGGCTAGTCATGGGACAATTACATATATAATACTCATATGTTACAATAAAAATTATGTTACCTTATATTCTCCCCAGGCATGAAATTTGTATTTATGGGAGACTTCCATCAATATAGTCATGTCCTGTATGAAAATGATATAATAAATTCTTAATAATCTTCAAAAGATATAACATAATAATATAAATGAAAACCAATTATACCTGAACGTAAAACTTGTTTGTAGACCACATTTTTAGTTTTTCCATTTTGTTGTGAACTCGTGATGGGTGGTTTTATTAAGACTTTCGTCGTATGCATAGAAGTTCCCCTAGAGAGTGCAACATATAATTGGCCGTGCGAGAACACAGATTGAGGCAAATAGATTCCAACATTTGGGATGGTCTGTCCTTGTGCTTTATTGATGGTCATGGCAAAACAAAGTCTAATTGGGAATTGTTTGCGTTTGAAAATGAATGGATAACCTTCATTTTCAGCGGGTGATAATGGTATCCTAGGTATGAAGACATGTTTTCCAGCATATTGTCCAAATACGATTTCCGCATCAATGACATTATTCTTGAAATCTCTACAGACCATCCTTGTCCCATTGCACAATCCGTTAGATGGGTCCAAGTTTCTCAAAAGAATTATGGGACAATCTCTTTTTAGGACCAATTTGTGAGGCGGAAATCCATTGGGAGTTAGAGAATTCAAAAAGTCTTCCTCGTAATGGTTGTTCGAATCATCAGCTGCTTCATCGAAGCTGGAAAATAATCTTTCTTTCCCTGGAAAGATAGAGATCAATTTATCGTTTAATCTATCCACATGATCATTTTTAG